TACTCACCATAGCGACGGCTTCTGGCGACTGCCTGTGGGAGAAAAATCAAAATGGCCGAATCACTTGGGATTCACGAGAAAAAGGGAGCCACACTCCGAGGACTTTTCCCCTCAGCACCCCCCAAATATCCATCATTGCATTCCTGGTCACCCACTCTGCATCCGCCACCCGCTTACCATCTTCCTCTAACCAACCCCTCCACGGATGGCACCAGATCTAAGACATCTCTTACCAAGTCGCTGAACTCAACGCTCGAAGGACTTGAAACAGAAAAGAAGTAGTACTTCCGCATCCGGGTAATTAAATGCGGCTAGGGGTTGAACTAAGGACGTCAGTGAGGGACAAAATTGTCTTTCGCGAAACGGGATCAAAGCTCCGTATTTTAGATAGGAAAGATTTTGAGCTTTTTTACCACAAGAAAAGTAATCTTATTGCATCATTAGTAACGATTAATGAGGTCAGTACTATAGTGGTTTGGTAACATAAATTAGTTAATATAAGCAGTTCCAGACTTTATTTGGTGTTTGTTTGTTTGCTTTTAAATTAGTGATGCCCAATAGTTAATGCGTTTACCGTTGTGGTAGGGTATTACGCTTACTCACTTGGAAGCAGACCCCGTTGGAATCAATGGGACAAGTTCCGAGTCAAAATGATCAGAGCAATGAGGACAGGTAACATTAAAAGTTCAAATTACAACTTTCAAATAAGCAGACTGGAGTAACACTGAGCGCCAGTAATGCCAAAGGCACTGGTGTAATAGGCCAGTAGGTGCCCTTGATGAGGTAGCTCACAGTTACTTCACATATTTCCGGAGGCAAACACATACTTGATGGGGTACACTTGACGCTAGGGTTGCCACCCTCCATGTGGCACCTGGAGATCTCCTGTAATTACAGTTGATCTCCAGACCACCAACATCAGTTCCCCTGAAGAAAATGGCTGCTTAGGAGGGTGGACTCTGGCATTATACCCCACTGAGACCCCTTCACTCCCCAAACCCCATCCTCCCCAGGCTCCACCACAAAAATCTCCAGGGATTTCTCAAACTGGATTCGGCAACCCTACTTGATACATGTATAGGGGCTGGGGACATTGGCCAGTCATATATTTCTGCTGTATAAATGTAATATACTCAGCTCAGACCACGTGGCCAGCTTGGGCTCCATGCGGTCAAGCGCCAACATTGAGCTTCGCTCGAAAAGCCCACACCAATCAGGGGGCTAGGTCCCCGGCGGAGAGCCTATGGAACTCTCAGGCACTGTAAATAACCTATTGGGAAGTAGGGGTGTGTTATGGGTGGCGGTTTCACGGGGAATATAAGCCAGCCTGCGAGCCGGCTAAAGTCGTCTTGTTCCTGATCGAATAAAGTACGATTTGCTGACATCACTCTCCGTCTGCGTACTTTTTACTGGCGATGAAGGTGGGATTCAGCTCCCTCTGAACAGAGACCACGTTCCGGGCATCGCCTTGAGCCGCCACGTCGAAATCGCCACCGCCATTGAGTGTTCTTTGAGAAACGCTGCTCATCGCACCGCTCCCAGCTCTGAGCATCGCACCACTGACCCCGAGAGCAGCACCGCACTGCTCCTTCTCTACGCCACTAGTTCCCGCGGCTCGTTTCCACGTGGAGCCCGTAAGATGGCTGCCGCATCAGAGAGCCTCCCAGCTTTCGATATCTCCCAACCCTCGCAGTGGGAAACCTGGCTGGAAACCCTCGAGAGCCACTTCACCATCCACAACGTAGTAGATCCAGGTATAAAGAAAGCGTACCTTCTGCACCACTGCAGGATGGAGACCCATCTCCTGCTTAAGGACTTAATAGCACCCTAGCTGACCAAAGACGAGTCTTACAACTCTTTGGTCAAGGCGCTTAACCGACCACCTGGCTCCCAAACTGACTAAGTTTGTGGAGCGCCTGGACTTTTTTGCGAAAGTCCAGGGCCCCGACAAGACCGCCTCAGATTTCCTGGCAGCTCTGTGGCGGGGCGCGACCAGGTGTTCCTTCTCCAACCCAGCTGAAACTCTCCTCAACCAGTTCCTCGTGGAACTAAGGGAGCCTAAGCTTCAGAGAAAGCTGGTAAGCCAGGATGACCTGGACCTAGATAAGGCAATCAGGGAGACCACCGCGTATGAAAAGGCCCACCAAGACTGCCGCACCAAGGTGGTCCACCGCATGCAAGCAACGGCCGGCTCCGACGCCTAGGACGAGAACGAGGTGCACTAGGTCCGCTGTCGGTCATCTCAGCCGTCCACCAACACGGGCAAAGCACCTTCGACTGCCTCAGCTCCGTGCGCCAGCTGCGGGGAGGGCCACGAGCGCCGGTTGTGCTGCTTCCGAAACGCTGTCTGCCGGACATGCAACAAATCGCGGCACATCTCCTAGGTTTGCCGCTTCAAGGGCCAATGCCAGAAGTCGTCCGTCCACCAGACCATGCCGGAGCCACCCATCGACCTCCACACCCTATCGGCCCACCACCCGCAACACCAGGTCTGTAACTTGCCTCCCGATGGCCCCAACAAGATGCATGTCATGGTCATTATAGAGGGATCCCCCTGCAGCATGGAGATTGATACAGGGTCGACCTACTCCATTATCTCTGCCGATACGCTCCGCATGCTGTGTCCCCAGGGGGCCCCCCTTCAGAAGCCGCGGGGTTTCCGGTTAAGGGACTTCAATAAGAACCCCGTGGCGGTACTGGGCTGGGGCAAGTTCTGGGTGCAGTTCCAAGACTTTAACGGCCCCTTAGACCTGCTGATGGTGGATAGGCCTCTCTCCAGCCTGCTGGGACTCTCTTGGTTCGAGGCCTTGGGACTCTCTCTAAATGGAATCAACCAAGTCTGATCACAGGAGTTTGGCACAGTGTGCATGGAATTTCCCCGCGTTTTCGATGGTTCCCTGGGATGCTTCTCTGGGCCCCCTATCTCCCTGGACCTTGACCCGGCGGTGCGCTCCATTCGCGTTAAGGCCACGCTGCCGCCATTAGCAAAATGAAGCCTAAGATTGAGGCTGAGCTGGATCACCTGGTGGAACAAGGGGTACTGGAACCGGTCGCATCTGCACGGTGGGAGACCCCCGTAGTCACCCCAGTGAAGCCAAACGGGGACGTGCACATTTGTGCAGATTACAAATGCATGCTTAACAAAGCTCTATAGGCACATGCTTATCCGGTGCCGGGGGTGAGCCACGTGTTGGCAGCTTTGGCGGGGGCTCGGGTCTTTGGCAAGCTAGACTTGGCCCAGGTGTATCAGCAGCTGCCGGTTGATGCCGCCATGGCCGAAGCACAAATGATCACGACACACGGGGGCGTTCAAGGTTCACCGCCTTCAGTTCAGGGTCTCGGTCGCACCTGGAATTTTTCAACCTTTTATGGATTCCCTCCTGAAAGGTATCCCCAGGGTTCAGCCATTTTTAGATGACGTGCTGATCGCCGCCCCGGACAACTCGTCCTTCGCTGACCTTCTGCGGGCTGTACTACAACGCTTCGACGCGGCAGGTCTCAAGGTCAAAAGGGAAAAGTGTCTCTTGGGGGGGTGCCTCACGTTGAGTTCCTGGGCTTCGCGGTTGACACCTCTGGCATCCACCCCAGAACAGAAAACATGCCTGGTTTTCATATAGAATAATTTTTGAGGAGGCATTGAAGTGGTACCTATTTATCTACTTGCAATTTCTTGCTTTCAAACTGCTAGGTTGGCAGGAGCTGGAACTAGAGACGGGAGCTCACTCCGTCATGCGGCACACTCGGGTCTCGAACTGCTGAACTACCGACCTTCCACAGCCTGCAGTTCAGCGTCTTAACCACTTGAGCCACCGCACCCTCTAAAGTAGGCCTGTACTATTAAAATATAGATTCTAACACAACTGTAATCATGGGGTAGTAGCTACATGCAACAATTTGTGGCCCTAGATTGGAATGTGCATCTCCATTCACATCAAAAGGTGGATCCAGCCAACTCACAGGGGTCCAAGTAAACATAGTGTGGATGATGTAAGGATCCAGATGAACATCCATAGCAGCTACACACACGGTATTCTATATTCATAAACTTGAAAGGCCCCCATAGTGCTTTGATGTTCATTTCAGTCTTCCTTTCTTCAGCAGAAAGAGGAGTTTGACAAATGCTCTACTGATTCATTGACTCATTTATCTGCCATCGTATCCATTCCTCATTACCTTTAGAGCAACCTATGTCCTGTAACGCTTACTCTTGATGCAATTATACCAGTACAGCACAAGAGGGCACTTTGATTATAGTTTTTTAAATACACCAGAAAACCGGAAAAGTAAACACAATTGCATAGTTCTGTGCAGAAATCAGGCCGTTATGTTAGTTGCCTATTATAATGTCATTAAGAACCGGAAAAGTAAACACAATTGCAGAGTTCTGTGCAGAAATCAGGCCGTTATGTTAGTTGCCTATTATAATGTCATTAAGAACTGTGAAAAACCCATGTCTGTAAGTGATGGATGGGGACATAATTCTTTTTAATTGAATTAAGATCAGTTGCAGCTAGGGTTCCCAGCCTCCAGGTGGGGCCTGGAGATCTCCCACTTTTACAACTGATCTCCAGCTGACAGAGATCAGCTCCCCTGGAGAAAATGGCTGCTTTGAAGGGTGGACCCCATGGCATTGTACCATGCTGAGGCCCCTCCCTAAACCCCGCCCTCTCCTGGATCCACCCCCAAAGTCTCCAGGTATTTTCCAACCCAGACCTGGCAACCCTAGTTGCAGTCAGCATTGACTGACATTCTCTGATGTCAGGTAGTCGTTCCTTGGCAGCTCCCTGTTTATGATAAGCTTCCAGCAGGTTAAGCAGAAGTTGATGATTGTCATGGACAATCATTTTCTTGAACAATGGAACTTTTACTATTTATTTATTGAAATACCAGAAGCAGGAACATAGCTCAGTGGCAGCATTAAAACAGAAAAGACTTATTTCAGATAAGTTAGGCAACTTCTTGGCTATGGCCTGAACACAGTAAGAATGTACTCCTTGGCCATCTATGTGCTGCACCCAATCTGAGCCCCCAAACAAACAAACAAACAACATCCTATTGGTGACCCAACTACTTCTGGGATGTTGATGCCCATGGGAAGCTTGGTAGGCTGAGTTTGGGAGCGGGGACTCCTGGGACAGTGTATAGGTGGAGGGCTCAAAAACCAGGGGCCAGCCCTATAAGCCATCATATGTGAAACGAAGTATTAGTATTTATTTTGCTCAGAATACACAAGGTCAAAAGCTGCTGAATACATGACTCATGCCCAAGTGAGAAGATGCATAATACTTTGCACATGGCAGTGTGC